AAAAAAAAAACAAAACAATACAATACACAGAAACAGGCAAATGCATACATAACATTACACAGAAAAGTAGCGAAAAGCGACATCATCTAAGCGCGGACGCAACTAGCTGTAAACACCGGCCGCCGAACGCATTTCCAGATGTCCATAAAAGCGTCACTGCTGTTATTCACCCAGTTCTATTATCCTCGTCACTGTATGGGGCGAACCGCTCAAGTTGTTGCTGTGTTGCGGTCACATGAATGCGTTGTATCGCATTTGTTATAGCCAACCGCCTCTCCTACCCCACCCGCCCACAAATTTCACTCCCATTAGCCATCAACACAATGCAAGCGAACTGCCGATTTGTTGTTGCTTTGTATCGCATTCTCTGGGCGAAACCACGTGCTAGTTGCTTCATCAACGATACAACGAAACAAGCTACAATAAAATTTTCAAAAAAGTAACGAAATAAGGACATGCAGGGATTTCGCTCTCGCCAAGAACACGACAATTTAACTCGTGCTTTGCTCTCACCAAGTTGCTTTCGCTTGTATCGTTGTATCGTAGTTGGCTGTAGCCTGCTGTGTTTATAATTTTTTACTTCGTCAGCTGCCACCAAAGCCTACATACAGCACGTTGTTGTTGCTTTGTATCGCTGTCTGTATCGTGGTTGTTGTTGCTGTCGCTACTTCGTCTGCACTGAGTGTTATTTATGAATAAACAGAATGTAAACAAAACACAGTGCAGTCATGGCTTGATTATTATGAAAGGGATTTTCTTTAAAAAATATTCAACGAACAATTTAACTTTAACTAAATTTATTGCTTTTAAATGCAAATAACGCCATTTTACTTCGACATTTAAGTGTATGCTTATATACGGCATGTACTACCTTATGTGTTCTGTGAAAATCAGCATTCATTGTAAGCGCCTCCCCATTTTGTGTATATAATCCAATTCATAGGTTTTTCGGATGCTGGCTCCGCCTCTGGTGCGCGCGCTGGCTATGCGACTGTGTATTGGTGCATGCCAGCCTTTCTGAAAATTCTTTTGTAGTAGTGAGCGAAATTCTTCGTATGCTCTCTCTATATATGCATAGTTGGCAGTTGGATTTTACTTGCACGAAATTCAAACCAATATTGTGTGTTGAAAAAATTCTATCACGCTACTCACGGCATAAATGAAGTAAATAGTGATATTGAAATATTTAAAAAGTTTTAGTTTATTTCATGAGGAAATGAATTTTCATGTGCATAAATATTATTATATTGGAAAAATAATTTATATGCATATACCTACAGTCATGTGAAAATTAATAGGCACACGACATTTTGACCAGTTTTGACACTTTTTCTTTTGTTTGTTTAATATTTATTATTATTAAAAAAAAAACCTGGCATTATCCAACAAAAGCCATAAAAGCCCAAGTTTAAAATTTTTTAAATTAAATTTTGTATGGAAGAAAATGTCTAAGTTTTTAATAAAAGGTTTATTTTTGTTGTAAAATTTTGTGGAATTTTTCAAATTTTTTTAGAAAGTTTGAAATCTGGATTTATATGGTTTTGTTTATAATGTGCTGTATTAACAAAAACAGTTATAAATATTAAACAAACAAAATAAAAATAATAAAAGTGGGTAAAAATGTCGTGTTTCTGTTACTTTTCACATGACTATATATCTATTGATTTAAGACTTAATAACTGATTTTGATTTGAATGCTGGTTTTAGATATTTGAAATACCTGATGTTTTAACAATGCCAAAATTTAGATGAAAAAATTCTTGACATACTTATCTTGTATAAACTTTCTTTACGGTAATCCTGGCCGAAGTCATTTCATTATAAATGCCATGCTACAAAAGCAAACATCCGATTTAGTAACGTTTGAACAATATATTAAAGTAGCATTTTTGTGCGGATTAAGTAAGGGCCATAATTCACTTTTTTAAATTTTTCTACAAAAAAACTTCCTCTCCTCTAACTCATAATAGTAGACTACATCGGTACCGTAAATTCAACTGGTAAACAGGCAGGTCTCCTAGCTCCTAGGCTTACCAAATCACACACAAGTGAGGTCGTGGATAATTGGCTAGACCAAAATTTGATTAGGCATTGAATTGCATGTCCAAGGCTGAAGCCAGCTAAGTACCTAATATTCGTTTATCGGTTAAAATCATTAATTTAGGCCAAACGAACTTACGAACTCTTACTGCGTGTTTCATGGCAACTTTTTCCCGCTATAGCTAGATGCGCATATGCCCATGATGCAGTTGGCCAAGATGAGGCTAGAACAACCGTGTCAAATCCGGTGGCGAAAAGCTGCTCGGGTGCATATACCACATAGTAAGCAAAATGTGGTATGATGGCGAAACCATGCGCAAAGATTTTGAATTTCAGTGTACTTTGTCCAATCCACAACAAGCAAGTTCCTGCCGTTTGCGACAATTATCCTGGAATAAGCCTTTGCGTATTGGGACACACGTCATGACTTTGAAGTACTGAAGAACTTTACCTGCCTGGAATCCAGAATAAACACCACTCATATTTCTGGAGATAAAGCGGAGTATAACGCTTGCCAACCGGCAGTAGGCAATTTAAAAGCAGGGCCCCCTCTTCATGGACAAAAGTCCCGCTCTGAAAATTTCTCACATGGACGATGTCTGGCAAAAATGCGACGGTTTTAGGGGCTTTCGGGAAAGCTATGCTACGTGACATCTACGTACCTGTTTACGTGGGCAACGAGTACCGAAGAAGATGGAATGACGAACTGTACGAGCTTTTTAGCGACATGGACACGGTTGAGTGCATAAAAACACAACGATTGCGCGGTTCCATGTTGTACGCATGGATTTGTGAAGTAGGGTAGCATTGAGACAGGGCAACCAAAATGAATTTTTTCTCTTGCCATTTCATACTTGGTAATGCAATTGGCAGATACGAGCTATTGCGCGCCAAGATCCCCTATCTGAAGTTTTTACAAAAACTTACTTCTTGTATAAATAACGATCTTACCTTAGCAGTAATCTCATAAATATATCGCTTGTTAATAGAATTTCCTATTTGATTGTAAATTTCGAATTAACGTTAGTAGAGACAGTTAAGTCCCAGAGATGGGCTGACATCAGAAACTAGAATTTGTAAAATTGGCAGATAGAGAGAGAACTGAAGTGCATTCGAATCTCGAATTAATATTAATCAGTTCAATTTAAACCATTCATATATATATCCTTTTAATACAATTATATCTTAATTTCAGCACCAAGTCTTGTTTTACCCAAATGAAGCGCTCCAATAAAATACAATTTACTTATCCTCACTTCTTGAAAGTCAATCGCTCTAAAGAGTGCGAATTTTTCCTCGTAAATAATGAGAGCATGAAACTGACACTCAACCATTATACAGCAATTTTGTAACTTATATTCTCATAAGCAATCTCTCTGCCATAGAATAAGTGACACCCCCCTATCTACTGCAAAATGTGACGTTGGCGCGTGAACGCTATAACCGGTCATATTAGCGCCACTTAATGTTGTAACCACAGCAAAGTAAAAGCTGACATACCGCGCGTTGCACTCATTTGCATGCCGTACTCAGCATTTGGTGGACATACTACTTTGAATAAGCGGAGCAAAAATTAGCATATCAGCTGACCTGGCCATGTGTGTGTGCGCCCAACGAGTGCAACGTCAGTTCACAGTGTAGAGTGTTTGTCGAAAAATGGTTAGAGCATGTGTGTGTGTGTTTGTGTGTGTGTGTATGTGCGTTGATGGTGGTGCGGTTGTGGCGTGGCTTTACGCAGTAGCTCAAATTTTCTATTATTCTATGAGCGCAGCAGGAAAATGTTTATGTGTTGGTTGCGTATACGCCACGGACACTTGTCCAAGTACATATATAAGTATGCAGCCGTATGACACTTAGCGAAGTCGCGTGTTGAAAGTGGGCGGTATTTTTGTCGTGAGCTGCTTCATTTGCTCACATTTTTAAACTACATACTCATATTTCTATGGAATTTGATTTGCTTTTTCTGCTTCATCTTCGCTTTCCTAAGGGTTTTTAGTGGCATATTTTTTCTCTTTATCAACGTCACCGGCTGCAACCAAAACTGGCAATGCCTTACGACATTTTATTATGCATTTGAATGCATGTATGTACTTGTAAATGCGCGTGAGTTTATGTATATGTGGGCAGTAGAGCCGAGCGAATGAATTTTACGGCACAAAATGTCAACCACAGCGTCGCATTTGGTAAACGCTTACTGTGCCTAGAATATTTTGTTTGGTCTTCGCCAGGCGAGTCTGTAAATGGTCTGCGTTTATACAGTAATAATCGTTTTTTTTTTCTTTTTATTTGCTTCAGTTGCTCACTCTCTATGTATTATATACCATGTGCGAGCAATGCATGTGTGTGTGTGTGTATGTGTTGTTATATCGTATCACTGAAAACGCCTGCCACTGATTGCTTCGCTCTTGCTTGACATTCTGCATGTGTGCTTATTCGTGTTTGTATATATATATATATATCTGTATATACATAGGTATATTTTATTGCACACATCTGTATTTGTGCGCTTAGCCCAGCATTTGCCCAGCAACATTTCAGTGTTAATTCGTCGATTCGAGGCGGCTCAGTTGCGCTCAGATTCATACGTGTGTTTACATCGGATTTTTAACTTTGCTCTGTTCTTTGGACATTAGTGCATTTGAACGGTACAAAAGTGTTGTGAAATCTTTGAAGATTCGTTGGTGAACAAAACGAAAAGGACAATTTCAAATTCGTGCGACTCGTGGGCACCAAACAGTTACAGCAGTACATATTGTAGTTCTAGTAAGTTGTTGTTGTTGTCTATAAAGAAGAAGAAATTCGATACAGCTGTTTTGCTGGTGTTAATATATTTACCGGTGTTGTTGTTGCTGTTGTTGGCCTTGTTGTTAAAGACTGCCTCAAGTCGGCTAGTGAGTGCGATGTGTACGTGCATGTGAAAGTGTGAGTGAGATCAGTTCCTTTTACTGCATCAAAGTTTTATTTGATTTTGTTTTTGGCACGTCTTCACCGTCTTGACAGCTGGCCATGTGCGCTTTGTTTACGATACATTTTGTTTTTTTTGATTGTTTCGTATTGCAGAGTATGTTATATGGTTTGTTGTTTATTTTCATTGAATATACAAATGCACTGTGAAGCACAGTTGGCAGAGAATATTCTTTTAGGTGAAGCGCCACTATTGAATTCGCTATTTTTTTTAACTCTCTATTGGTACACCACTGCGCATGAGTGACGTATAGTGTTGTGAATATATGTTTTTTTGTTTTGAAAATCTTTGAAAAAGCCTACCTACCGAATTAATGGATAATGTCATACAAGTAGAAACACCTACGGTAAATGGTTTTTATAAATTTTTGTTGGTTTGAAGAAATACACAATTATGCAGGTTTCACCTTGCCCGCCGAGTGCTGACCAGCGGCCATGTTTTTCCAAGGGAAATATTTTATAAAGTAAGCAAGCAAATGCCAAAACCAATCCAACTCTTGCCGAGTAGGGGAAAGTGTAATTATCAGCCGACTTCGACTATCCAAAATAGTTAAAAGAGGACGTAATGTTTGTATCCAAGAAATAACTGTCAGGCCCTTTGTTTTGAACTTTTCCGGGAGCATTCACCAGCCCATCTGCTTGCCACTTTCGAAGAGAAAATTATTTTCTTGTAACACTTACAGTCAGAACCGAATTTGCTTTAAATGCCGTCCTTAGTCCTGTGAAAAATTCCACCCTCTTGTTTTGAACCTACTTGAAATATTTAAAAAGTGTATTCTATGGCGCGCCTGACATTCCTGCAGCTCCTATATATGTATATGATGCACAGTACCGGAGAGCAGAAAACCTTCGGTGCAGCTGTCAATTATTTCCCATTTTCGGTCCGACATATTTTTGTAGGAAAGAGGTCAAGCTTTCGTTTAATGATACTAAAAAAAAATAAAAATTGCCATATTGGAAGAAAACCCCAAACATATTTTAAAACTAAGAAAAAAATTTAAAAATTTAGATTATATATTTTTCCACTAAATCAATATTGGTAAAAATGATTGCTAAAGCATGCGTAGAAAACTAAAAATTAACCACACTCAGGAATGCCACTAACAAAATAAAAAACTACTTACCAACCACTAGAAAAAAAAAATTTACCAAATCTGAAAGACATCTACCAACAATGTTTTTTTAGTTATTTTAATAAAAGCTATAGTTTTGTTCTATTTTTATAGTTAATTTGATTTTTAAAAACTTTTTATTTAACTTCAACCAAAAGCGAAAGTGATGAAACTGCAGAACACAACGAATCTTCAACATATGAAAAAACTTCAAATGGAGTTTTAATAGAAACATATAGTGACTATAAAAACCGTTTGGTGTTTTTTCTTCTATTTTCACATTGTTTTTCAAGCCAAAGTAGTTTTGATATTTTTTGCATAAAGACATTGTTTGCGCTTTAAACGAAACCATAAAAATCAAGGAATCGAGCTATGTATATGCCACATTTAAAATTAAACAAAATTTTGCAAAACTTAGAACTTTTTTCTCTGAATTTTTGGAACATTTTTGGGTACGCAGTTTATAGCTCGTTTAATTTTAGTACAGCATGAGCAGCTAAAAGTTCCCGTTAATTTTATTTTATGTTTGTTTTTTTTTTTTGCCAAAGGTCTTTTGTGTTTCTTCTCTTTTAATTTAAGAATTGCCATTTATAGAAATTAGACTTGATTAGACTTCTTGCAAGTAATCATAGTGTGCAATTACAGGTCTGTAAATTTTTTGTTTTTATAAAAGGTTGGGTTATACTGGCAGGACGAAGCCCCGCAGAGACCAGTAGCGATACCACATCGCAGTCTTGTTTTAGCAAAAATATACATATATCACTTATGATATTCGTATTATTCGCGAATTTTAGAAGAAGATCAAGTCCAGTTTCGGGGATTCTATCTAGTCCGTCGAAGCTGCTTGCCCCAGATATTTAAGTCTTGTTTTCGAGAGAGCCATTTATACCCGGCTCGTTGCACACAGACAAGTTCCGCCGCTTTCCTAATAGTAAAAACCTCTGCAAGAAACGCCGTATAGTAATCAGGAAGTTTGACTGACGCTCTTATGCTTAGTTCCGCACAGTAGATGCCAGCTTCAACCCCCTTTTCTATTTTAGATCTGTCCGTGTTAATGCTGAAAGTGTTGCATCTCGGTACTATGCCTTTTCGCCAGCCACCTTGCTCTATTACTGTTTTCACTCTTTTACCAAAATTTATGATTGTTATCATATAGTCCGAGTCGAGCACAGCCTCCTTGCTTATGGAGCTATATGTGAGAGGTCTTTTAGTTAGTTGTTTCGTGATGCGCAATCGCTCGGCTGACTTTATCGCCTGATTTTCCGCAAAGAGGTCAATTGGGGTACGGTTAAGAGTTACTTCTAGAGTAGCTGTTGATTTATTCTTATGGCCCCAGTATTTAGGTAAATTTTTTTCGAGTAATAGTCCATCACACCAATATACCATATAGTAGTATTGGTCTAACAATTTTCGTGTAGTACCAATGCGTCAGAGCGGGAGAGAGGCCCCATGTGCTTCCAAGCATTTTTTTACATGCGTATAGAGCATTCGTTGCTTTTCTCACCTGCTGCTTCACATTGGCCTTCCAAGTGAGTTTTTTATCCACGACTACTCCAAGATATCTCGTAAATCGTCGTTTAAAGTACAAAACCGCGTATCAAAAAATGCAAAACCGCTTATGTGAGGTCGGTTAAATTATTTTCCGGATAGTAAAAACACTCGTATTTCAAAATGGTTCTTTTCTTCATAAAGCAATTGCATTTCTGGCTAGTATATTTCAGAACGAATGGATAAGAATTAAGTCAAGAGCTTGTGTGAGCAAATCCAATTTATGGCAAAAAATGTTAGTTACGCTGTTTTACAGAACGACGATGTACGATTTTGTACTTTGTTGTCCGGGACCTTGTAATTTCTCGCGCTAGTTACTTTATTAAGAGATTAAATATCGTTTTTCCTTCAGTCGCCATTCTCACGCCTGACAAGGCTTGGCATGGACAGCTTTCTAAGCCTTGCCACCTCCACCGTATTTTCTATACTCGCGCAAAAGTTTTTCCAAGAGCTTTGTCTGGCAACCCGGATTTCTTTTATGTAAAGCTTGGGCACATCCCTCTACTCCTCCCAAACAACTTCACACTCTGCTGACTTCGTCAGCTTGAAGATTTCGCGAATATATCGCCTTCTAGCCACTAGTTCCCTGTAACATCAGGGAGGCTGGGATCTGTGCTTTGCTCGCATCGGGGGACAGGAGATAAAAGTTAGAGCTTGCAGTCCAATATCGAGTTCTTCGAGGGAGCTAATTGGCACAAGATGACCAATTTCTCTCATAAGAATCTCCCTATAAATATCCCAGTTCGTGTTCCTGGGATTCCTTAGAACTTTCATAATTTTCACGGGATGGAGATTAATATTAAAACCAGTATATTTCGTTTTTATTAAAATAGTCATTTAAACTATATTTAGGCAATCAAAAGCTCCCCAGGTTTCCAGTAGAATAAGTTTTGAATAGGGCACACTATTGTCTGCTTTTTATCGATAAAGTGTGCATTAAAGCGTTCGAAAATTAATTCAATAAAGTAGACTACACTTTTGGAAAGAAATTTATAAAATAAAGATAACTACGAAAATTAAAGTTTTTCAAAACAAACTTCTTTAAGAAAAATCAACCAAATTGAAAAAGTTACCTTTTTAAAACCCACATTTTGTGTACCAATTTTGGTAATAATTTACCAAAGTGTCAACCTTGGCCAACTGAAAATGTTATCGTTACCACGCGCTGTGAAAATTTAAATTTGGATCCCTTGTGTTATGAAAACTCGGTGTACTGGGTTTAAGCCCTTTACACATTTTAAGGAGGTCCACTAACCCTACGATTTAGTAATGTTGCACCATAATTGGACAAAATAAAATTTTAGCCGGGTACACAAAATTTTACACTTTTCCAATGAAATTATAAAAACATTGAAGAGTTAGTTGTGATTAAAGTCCTAGCTGATCACTGCTGACAAAAGCTAAATAGCATAAAAAGGCATAAAGGGCGTTCTTGTGGCCCAGTTTTAGGCAACGAATTATTTTCAAAATTACGTGAAGTTGAAAACTAAGCTTAGAATCCATAGTGATACCAAGGTCCACAAAATTGTATACCTTTTCCAAGTTATGGTTATAGTGGCTGAACAGCTCTTCGCGATTTACTTTGCACAGGTTAGCCATGCTGTTTAAGCCGGTTTGTAGCAAAGGATTTTCTTTAATTGATACATACATACGACTTATGAAGTTTCACATCATCTGTGCACATTAAAATTTTTGAAAATTGTATATCTGTAGAAATATTGTATATAAAAAGCAAGAACAGCGGGACTTCTGAAGTAACACCAATGACGCCCGAGGTAGTATTTTTAAACATCACCCATTGTGATCTATCAAAGAGGTATGAAGAGATCCAACGTAGAAAATTAGGTTGAAGACCAAGAAGATCAAGTTTATAGATGATCAACGAGTGGCATACTTTGCTAAATGCTTTACTGAAGTTGGTATGTATAATATCCACACTTTTTTTCACAAACGCTTTTGAGATAGAGGTTGTGATTCCAATTTTTTTTCAGGTACCGATGCCGATGCCGATTAATCGGCTTATGGGGAACGAATCGGCCGATGCCGATGCCGATTCCATAAAAATTACAAATAAATGTATTAATTCATAAAATCAGTCCATTTCACGGAGTTAAAAAAGCAAAAGAAAACTTTTAATCA